ACGAGACCCCAAGATTGCCTCCCAGACGCACCTGAGAGGCCTTTCACGAGACCCCTATCAGCCATCCGAGTGGCCTCAGACCCACAGCCCAGGCACGGTGGCGGGATGGGCCGACGGCCATTCGATCCGTCGCCCCCTGTGGTCTTCCCACAGGGTGCCCGGCGTGCTGAATCCTAGACGGGATGGTTTTGGTTCTTTTTTCAAAAGAACTCTTCCTGGGGCTTCGGCCCGTCCCACCGGCCACCCGAAAGGCTCTTAATTCTCAGAAAAATGTTCCCAAGACGGCTCAAGACGGCTTTCAAGACCGCCAAGATGGCCCAAGATGGCCTCCAAGATGCCTCCAATATGGCCTCCAAGACGGTTACGATGGCTCCAAGATGCCTCCAAGACGGCCGAAGATGCATCCAAGACGGCCTAAGATAGCCCAAGAGGCCTCCAAGATGGCCCCAGAGGCTTCCCAAGAGGTTGTTCAGGAATGCCCGACGACGTCAAAATCGCTGATGTTCCTCAGGTGTTTGAAGGATTTGGGCTTTTGCGCTTCTTCGGTTTTCCCACGGCCCAAGATGGCCCAAGAGGCCCTCGAGGTTACCCCAAGATCGCCTAAGAGGCTTCCAAGATGGCCCTATGATGGCCCAAGAGGCCCCCAAGACAGCCTCAAGAGGGCGCCAGGACGGCCCAAGAGGCCTCTAGGACGCCCAAGATGGTCTCCAAGACGGCCCTGAAGCGCCCGAAGAGGACCCCATGCCGGTTCAGAGAGGCCCCCAAGATTGCCTCCCTCGGCGTCAGATGGGTCAGGCACGCCCCAAGACGGCCCAAAAGATGGCCCTAAGATGGCCGGTTTCCACTGCATGAGCCAATTCTGCGGGACAGGCTGTTCCTCCCGAGCCGTTTGCTGACGGTCCTTCGACCTGGCGAGGGGGCACACGTCGCCGCGCCGTCTGTTCTCGACGCGCCCAGGTGGACGACGCCGACGCCACGGCAAGCCCACGGCAAGCCCATGACAAGCCCCGCGCCCGAGGCGGCCTCTGCCCTGGTGGCCGAGGCGCCCTCCCCAAGACGCAGGGCCGCGCGTTGGAACCAACGGCGCGGCGACAGGCGTTGGCTTCGACTGCTACATCGCGGGTTGTTGACTCACACCGCGAGGAGGGCAAGATCTTCCTCCTGCTCGACCTCATCCTCCTTCCTCCCTCATTCGCCTCCTCTGGCCCTCCTCCTCATCCTCCTCCTCATCCTCCTCTTCCTCCTCCTCCTCCCCCATGAAATGAGGCGTCCGTCAGGAGATTGGCCCAACCGAGCGCGGCATTGTGATCGTGCCCGCTGTGACTGAGCAGCTCGGGAATGGCGAGCACGGCCATGCACCCCAGCGTGGCGGCAAGGCCGACGTTGACCATGGCCAGGAGGCCCCCACCACGCCCGCCAGTCCGACCCTTCCCCTTCCCCCACGTTCACCCTGGCCTAAAACAGGGCTAGGATCGGGATAAATCGCTCCAGAGCGTTCCGGAGCGCTCTCAGAGCGTTCCGGAACGCTCTGGAGCGGCCGCGGCGCCCAATACATCCTCCAAACCCGCCGATTCTCAGAGATTTCGATTTAGCCCGATCCGATTTTGTCCCGATCTTCCCGTCGTTTATGGCCTTCGGGAGGGGGGACGGAGATCTGTTGGGCGGAGGTTGGCCAGACCGACGGCGTCACGAGGCAGACCAGATGGCCAGGTTCTTCCAAACTTTGGCGCCTGCGGAGGCCCGCTTCGGAACCTTCCCCTCCTGCTCCGCGCAGGGGTGCAGGGGACCAGGCGGGTCCTTCCTCCCTACACTTCGGGGACAGGCCCAGAAATCCGACCGCGCGACTTTGCTTGCAACACGTGACACTCCGGCCAGAGAAGCCTGGACCCCTTCCCCGGGACTCGGGGGGAAGGAAAGGGGGGGATAGCAAAGGGTAGGGTAGAGAATCGGCTCACGTAGCTGATTCTCCCAGCGCCTCCCGGCGCCGGAAGGCGCGCATGTATCGAGGACTGGGCCCGGCGGCGGGACCGAAACCAACTGCATGCAGCAGCCTTCGTAACCCCCCTTTCCCTGTCCCCCCCTTTCGTTCAGCCTCAGGGACCGGCGTCTCCTGCAGAGACGCTTTCTGGCGGCCCCGCGGCCCAGTGAGGGCTCCCAGAGAGGCTGCAACTCAGGAAGCACACCGCGTCGCGATTCTTGGCCGCGGCGCCTATGAGGTCGGGGTCGGGGTCCGCGCAAGCATGGTTTAGCGATCCATGGATCTGGCGCGCGGTCGCCACATCCATGGATCGGGGGAGGCGCCCTCCCCAAACTGCGGCCGGTGCCGCCTCGCTCGGCGGCGGAGATCCGCGACTTCCCATGGGAGCGGGACCCGTCGCTATATCCACGCCCCCCTGATCCATGTTTGCGATCGCCTGCCTGGGGTCGGGGGAGGTCGCAGGAGGGACCCCGTCAAAACCGCGCCCGAGACTTGGATTCTGGGGTTAAGTCGGGCCTGTCCTCCTACAAGGGGATTTTGGAAGAAAAACCCGCCGACCCTGTCCGCGTGTGTGAGGGGCTTGTCCGTTGAAGTCGTCATCTCCGTCATTCGTTGGTCGTCGTCTCTGTCGTCCCCTTTCCCTGCCTCCCGCATTCCCTGGGCTCGTCGAAGCTCCCCCCTTTTCCATAGACCTCCTCAGCGCGCCAACCAAAGCGAAGTTGAGCAACGTGGTAATTGAATCGAAGGGAAGAACCTTCCCTTCGATCCCTTCCCCGCCGGGGCGGGGGTCCCAGGGGGGGGGGGGTCAGATACCCCGGGGGAGTCCCGGAGCCCAAAAAAGCCCCAAGACAGGCCAAGAGTGCTCCAAGAGGCCCCAAAGACAGTCCAAGAGAACTCCGAATCGCCGAACGATCTGTCCAAGACGCCTTGACGGCCTCCAGACGGCCCAAGAGGCCTGCAAAGCGCCCCAAGAGGCCTCCAGGAGCTTCCCACTGAGCCCCAAGAGGCGTTTTTAACAGATTTTGGCGTTCTTGCCTCTTCCGCGTCCCGACGCGCCAAGACGGCCCAAGAGGCTCCCCAAATCGCCCCGAGACGGCCCAAGAGGCTCCCAAGAGGGTCCCCTGACGGCCGAAGAGGGCCCGAAGACGGCCCAAGAAGCCTCCAAGACGGCCCAAGAGGCCCCCAAGATTGCCCCAAGACAGCCCATGAGAGCCCCAAATTGCCCAGGAGGCCTCCAAAAGTGCCTCGAGACGGCGCAAGAGGAGCCCTGGACGGCCCAAGACGGCCTCAAGAGAGCCCCAGGCTGTCCCAAGAAAGCCTCTGGCCTCCTCCTTCTCCTCCTCCTCCTTCTCCTCCTCCTCCTCCTCCTCCTCCCCCCCCCTCTGCTCCCCCTCCTCCTGCTCTCCCCTGCATCCTTCTCCTCCTCTTGCTTCTCCTCCACATCCTTCTCCCCCCTCCTCCTCCCTCATCCACCTCCCCCACCCTTCCTCCACTTCCCACTCATCCTCCTCCCCCTGCCCCCCCTCGTTTTCATCTTCGTCGTTCTCAGGGTCGGCGGCACCGAACCGTAAGGCCTTCGCGAATGGCCAAAGCATACCCAACAAATAATCCCCAGACTATTTTGTGGACTATCTCCGAACATCCCCCCTGTAGAGGGACAGGCCCGACCTACTTCCGGGGCGCGCGCGGACCCAGCACTTCCCGGGCGGAACCCGGCACCCGCGACGTGGGCCGCCCCGCCGCCCCCCCGAGCAAGCCCCGAGAGGCCGGGAGCCGTCGGGATCGACGGTGCCATCCTCCCTCCTCCGCTCCTCCTGCTCCTCCTCCTCCTTCCTCCGCACTCCTCCCTCCTCCTCCTTCTTTCTCCCCCTTCTTTCTTCCTCCTCCTTCTTTCTCCTCCCTGCTGCCCCTCCTCCTCCTCATTCCCTGCTGCTCCTCCTCCGCTCCTCCTCCTCCTCCTCCTCCTCCTCCTCCTCCTCCTCCTGCTCCTCCTGCTCCTCCTGCTCCTCCTCCTCCTCCTCCTCCTCCTCCTCCTCCTCCTCCTCCTCCTCTCCCTCCTCCTCCTCCTCCTCCTCCTCCCTGCTCCCTGCTCCCTCCCCTCCTTCCCTCCCAGACCCCCTCGGGCAATGACAAAAATCATGACGGGAGGCTTTTTGCTTATTTCTGTTCGGCCCCTGGGGGCCCTGACCGCGGCCCTCGGGACCGTCAAGAGACAGCTCAGGATGAAAATCCGGTCCAGGGGGAATGGGTCGAGACCTCCAGGGGTCGACGTCATGAAAAAATCACGACGTCGGGGGTCTGGGCTTCGGCCCCTTCTCGTGCCTCCTCCCCCCCCAGATCCCAGACGCCGCGATTTGTTTCGCAGGCCGCGGACCCCGAGAGGACTGGGACCCCCTTCTCCGGAGCCGGCTTCCCCTCCCGACTCGCTCCGATGACGGTCCTGGGACCTCGTGACGGCCCCCAGAAGAGGAAACCTACCCAAACCTCGCGGCGTGATTCTGCACAACACATGGGGGTAAACCATCGACCCGCGCATCATCCCTGGACCCGTCGTGGCGCGCGTTTGGGCCAGACGTGGCGACGAGAAGCCCCAGAGACCCCCCAGAGACGCCCCCCCCACCAAACAAGCGTAGAGCATGGACCATCGAACCTCGGTCCTTCTCCCTCTCCTCCTCCTCCTCCTCCTCCTCCTCCTTCTCTCCCTCCTGCCTCCTCCTCCCTCCTCCTCCTCCCTCTCTCGTCATCCTCCTACCTCCTCCTTCCTCCTCCTCCCGGCTCCTCCTCGTCCCTCGGTCCTCCCTCGCTCCTCCTCCTCCTCCTCCTCCTCCTCCTCCTCCTCCCTCCTCTCCTTGACCTTCCCCCCCCCCACACACACACCGGAGGAACACACTCGATCGACCGGCCACCGCAGCAGGGGCCCCCCCAGACATGCGACACGTCCTGATTTTTGTCAGGACGGCGCCCCCGGAAGTCCAGACCCTTTTTTCCCCTGGGCCGGCTTCTCATCCTGCGTCGTTTTTGTTGACGGCCCCGAGGCCCGGTAAGGGCCCCCAGGGGCCGAAACTAGCGCAAACATGGGCCCCTCCCTTGCTCCCTCCCCCTCCCTGCCCGGCCCCCCATCCTCCCCCACCCCCACCCCGCGCACTCCCACCCTCCCCCCCCCCCCCACCCGGCCCGCGTCGGCCCTCGCCCTGATCCTCGGCCCTCCTGTATCCCCCCTTCTCCGCCCTCTTCCCCCCCGCATTCCCCTTCCCTCCCCTGGCCTCGATCCTCGACCCTGCTCCCCCCCTCCCCCTCCTTCCTCCCTCCTCCCTCCTCCCCCTCCTGTGCCACCCCCTCCCGCCGACCCCGCCCGCTCCAGCCCGGCCCTGGGGGGGGGGGCTGGGTCGACGGGCGGCCGCGCCAGGCGAGGGGCCTCCCGAGCTCGTGTCGTGCCCCGCGCCCTCCAGGGAGTGGGGCAGCAGGTGCAGGAGGGCGTCCGCCACCAGCACGGTGCCCGCGAAGGCCAGGCTGCCGTACTCGACCACCTTGTGGAGCCTTGGGGGCGAGGCGAGGCGAGGCGAGCGCGCGGTTCCGCCGGGAGCGGGGCCCTTCAGGGCCTGCGCGGGGGGGCCGGGGCCCTCAGTGCTTGTGGTCCTTGTTTGCCGAGGTCGGGGTGCTGAGTCATGAGCTGGTGGACGCTGGAGGCGAAGTGGTGCAGGTGGAAGTGGAGAGTCGGAAGCCGGGGGGGAACCGGGGGGCCGGTCGGCCAGAGGGCCGGTGGAGGCGACACGGCGGCCCCGGGCTGCGCCTCCTGCATGCCAGCTCCTCGCCGCCACGGCCAGGTCCGCGCCGGAACACGGAGCGGGACGGAGCCCCGGAGGGCTCCCGGGGCCGCTCGGGAGCGCCTGTGGGGCCGGGCGGGGCGCCCGCCGAGGTCTCGACCGGGAAGCTCAAAGGGGGAGGAGGAGGAGGAGGAGGAGGGGGAGGAGGAGGAGGAGGAGGAGGAGGAGGACGAGGAGGAGGAGGAGGAGGAGGAGGAGGAGGAGGAGGGAGGAGAGGAGGGAGGATGGAGAGGAGGAGGAGGAGGAGGAGGAGGATGAGGAGGAGGAGGAGGAGGACGCAGGAGGAGGAGGAGGAGGAGGAGGAGGAGGAGGAGGATGGAGGAGAGCCCGGGCCCAAGCCCGCTTGGGTTGTAACACCAGCACGGCGGACGGTCCTAGCGGGGCCCTCGGGGGGGGCCCTTCCCGGGCCCCGGGGCCATCGAAAAACGCCTCGGGGTGAGAAGCCAGATGAACACCACAAGTGCGATGCTTGAGGCGGATGTTCAAGATTTCGCCAGCATGTTTGTCTAGAGTCAGCACAGCCTATCTACAACCTTGTTGCAACGCCAATTCTGGTGGACTCGCCCGGGAACCTCCGAGCAGCCTCCCAAGACGAATGCTGTTCTCTATCGGTAGCCATTCTTATGTCTTGCCCCGAACGTAGGGTAGCGCACAAGCCTGAGGCAGGCCGCGTTTGCAATGGACAACGTACCTGCGCTCACAAGCTTCGGAGTTGTCTGGGCGAAACCTCAGTCGACTCCAGTGTCTTCTGGGTGGCGAGGCGACTTGGCGCTCAGCCGTCAAATCTTGGTGAAGCAACATCCGTTGACTGTTCTGCCGCTGTCCCTCTCCTCCCTCCCCCTCCTCCCTGTTCCCATCCTTCCCATCCCTCTCCCGCCCTCCCGGATTCGTGCCCCATGGGGTACAAAGTCTTCCCATGGTCTGCCACCGAGCCACCTGCAGTGCAGTCGACTTCTCAAGCTGTTAGTTCTAGATATTTCTATGTCTTGCTTGTGCCCGCACGCCGACACCTGTCAAGATTTACCTCGCCAAAGCGCCGTCTGGGCGCGGCTGCTGTCTGTCTGTCTGTCTGTCTGTCTGTCTGTCTGTCTGTCTGTCTGTCTGTCTGTCTGTCTGTCTGTCTGTCTGATGAAAAACCGGCCCCAGGGAACGACTTGGGACTCCTGGGGCCCCCCCATCGAAGGAACCAAGACCTCGGATGCCTGGGGGACGAGGGGGAGGACGAGGAGGAGGAGGAGAAGGACGAGGAGGAGGAGGAGGAGGAGGAGGAGGAGGAGGAGGAGGACGAGGAGAACGAGGAGGAGAACTAGGAGAACGAGGAGGAGAAGAAGGGCGAAGAGGGGGAGGACGAGGAGGAGGAGGAGGAGGACGAGGAGAGCACTCCGAGCAGTAAAGCTGCCAGGCCAGTGTGTGCTCTGCGCGTCTGGCCGCACCTCTGGCAGCAGAGCTCGGTCCCGACCTGCGCTGCTCTCCTGGGTAGAACAGCAGCTAAACCTTAGCACAACGTGTCGAAAGTCCGCGCGGAGACGTCTCGCGTCGGCGCCGGGCTGCGGGGCTGCGGCACTCGAGGATCGAGGACATCGATGAGATCGGAGGTATAGGATCGAAGGATCGAGGTGTGAGTCAGGAGGGAAAGAAACACAGAGACACAATTAATCGTCACTTCCCAAGAAAATATAAGAAAATATGGGACGTGGGGGGAAGACAAAACCCAGAAGATATGGGAAAATATGCGGAATAATTCTACTTGCGTGTATTTGTTTGTGTGTCCTGGGGCCCCTTCAGTGAGGGGCTGCGAGGCTCGAGCATCGAGGGAATCGTTGAGGTCCGAGGCTCTCTGACGACCGCGGCGTCCTGGGGGCACCGCCGCCCGGAGAGCAGCTCTCCTGCGGAGGGCGACGCCTCCTCCTCACAGGAGGACCTGGGGGGGGAGGAGGATGAGGAGGAGGAGGAGGAGGAGGAGGAGGAGGAGGGCCGTCGTAGCCCCTCACAGGTGCACACATCCTTGTCGGCCTCGCGTCGCCAAGGACCGTCCTGACGACGCTTCGCAGCGTCCTCGGTGATCTCCCGGGGGGGAGGGGGGGAGGGGGGGGGAGGAGGGCCAGAAGACAAACCACACTACGGCAAACAATTGCGGAGGTCCGCGCGTTTTTTTTTCCTCGGGGCGGCGCTGGACCCCCATATACACACACGCTCACACGCCAATCCCGGGCGCGCGGAGCGCACTGGGAGCGGCGCCCGAGACGCCTCCAGCAGTGTGGGGCGGAGGGCTCCCGCGAAGGACAGGCGAACAAGCTACGCCACGCCGAGTCCGGGAGAGAGGGACCGAGCCTCGAGGTCTGACGCCTGCTGCCTGCAACCGCTGCTCGCGTGGCGTGATCTGCTGCTGGGCCCTCGGGGTGCCCTGCTGGCCACAGTCGGGTCCGCCTCGGAAGGCTTGCCGGCTTGCCCGAGCGCAAAGCCTCGGGACGGATCCAGAGGTCGGCCTTCGGCGCCCGACCTGGACATCCGGCGGCTCGAGACAAGGATCCGCTCCGTGCCTCGGGCTATGATGTTGCAACCTACTTTAGCCTTGATCACCAGAGGGAATTCCGAGCACCAGAAAACTACCCCCAAAACTCCAGGGTTTTCACGTGCCGGGCCCTGGGAGACACTCGCCCGACGCTGCTTCGACACTCTCTCGGCACTTTTCCCGGTGCTCGAAATTATTTCTGGGATGTGGTCCGTAAGCACGATGGGAGCAACATAAGCCTCAGGACAGTTGCGAAAAACACTAGTTGTGGATGAACAGCTGGCCCTGGGGACAAGGCTGAGTGGTCCAGGCGCACGCCTCGAACAAGACATGCCGCTGGACATCTGGGGAGGAAGGCGAGGGAACAAAGACTGATTACGTCGCTGGTCACCCTTTTCGGGCCTGCTGGGCAGCCCTCGTCGCCACAGCTGGACTCGCCTCGCAACCCAGGTCAGAGAGCTCTCCAGGACAGGCCAGGGACCTCTCCAGGACAGGCCTGTTGTGACCCATGGCACGCGTCACAGGTGTCGCCCTCCGCCCTCATGCTTGCAGAGCAGCTGGAACAAGGAGTGGACGCTGGACATCCCAGAGTAGAAGTGGCCATGGCTGGAAAACAAAAACTGGCCGAGCTCAGAACGAGCATGGAGCGGGTGGGGTATGGTGGCCAGGGCCAGAACGACTTCAGCCCAGACGTGCGACGTCATGATTTTCTCAGGACGGGGTCCCCGAAAGTCCAGGCCCGTTCCCCAGGGCCAGTTTTTCGTACCGAGTCGGTGTTTGACGGTCCCGGGGGCCGGCGAAGGCCCCCAGGGGCCGAAGATAGAGAAAAACCTCCCGTCCGGACGTTTTCAGAACGCGAGGAGGTCTGGGAGGGAAACTTGCCAGGGCTGGAGAAAGCGCCAGGGGCGCAGCCCCAGCCACTCTGACCCCGAGGTATGTATTGGTCCCTGGTCCTCTGTCTCTCCCCGAGGTAAGGTTCCCGGGGCCGCCGTCTGAGTGCCCGCACGGCCCTCGTGGGCTGCTGTGGCGCGCTCCGCGCTCCGGGCGCACGCGAGACGCTGCTCGGAGCGAGAAACGCAGAAACGCAGCCACTCTCAACAGCCCCCCCGTGTTTGCGCTGCCGCAGGCCTGTACGGCGCCCAGCCCAAGACCTTGAGTCAGGTCGGGCATGTCCCCCTACAGGCGGACCTTCGACGAAAAATTAGCAATCTCAACACATACCCCAAGATGATCAAACATGGCAGAGAAATCTTCCCCCTACTACTTGTTCGAAATGTTTTGGCATGTTTCTCCTGTAGAGGGACAGGCCCGACTCAAACCTTGAGGAGCGCCAGCAGCAAGACGCCGACGAAGCTCACCACGCTCATCGCCAGCGCGGACACGTAGGCGCCGAACCACTGGGGGTCGAGCCCAGCAGACTCGGCGTACGCGCCGAGCCACTCGTGCCCAAAGTCAAGGTGGCCGTGGCCCTCGTGGCCGTGGTCGTGGCCGGCGTGGTCCTCGTGGCCGCGCTCTCCGTGGCCGTGCTCCCCGAGGCCGTGGTCGTGGTGGCCGTGCCCCTCGTGGTGGCCGTGCTCCGCGCGGCCGTGGTCGTGGTGGCCGTGCTCCGCGTGGTGGCCAGGCTCCTCGTGGCCGTGGTCGTGGTGGCCGTGCTCCGCGTGGCCGTGGTCGTGGTGGCCGTGCTCCTTGGCGCGATGGATGCTCTTTCTCGCATCCGTGCTTCGGTGCGGATTGTTCGCGCGTCAGTGCGCCTCGTTTCCGTCATCGTCGGCGGCGTCGTCGGCCTCGTGGTCGTGCTGCGTGCTGTTCTGCCTGGGACCTGTATCCCTGTTTCCCGTGTGCAGTGACCACCACAGCCCGCGAGGGTGGAAACTGGTCCGCCCCTGCACAACTCCTCATCCTCTTGTCTTGACACCCATAAGGGGGCCCTGGGAGGGCCTCGGGTAGGCTAAAAAGCGGCTGACAAGAGACACGCTGGCGGCAGAAGATCCTCAACAACATGACTGAACAGAAACGATAAGCGTTATTATGTGCTGCACGAGCGGGAGACCATAATTTGGACGCCCGAAATGGGTGCGGAAAAAAATTGGTACAATGCCCAACAACAAATGCTGTCCCAAACCAACAGCGGCCGCTGTTGGGCAGGCGGCCTTCTGTTTCAAATGGACACAGGCCGCGGCGGCGCGGACTGCGAGTCCTGTTCAAAATGAACAGAGACTGATGTTGGGCATTGTACCCATTCTTTCCGTACTCATGTCGGTCGTCCCGACATCAGGGGGGAGCACACGGAAAGGTAGACGGGAGACCACTCGGGAGGTCACAAGAGGCTATGCTTACGGGAGGCCGCTCGGGCCAGGAGAAGCCATACGGGAACGGGCAACCCCGAGCCACGCTTCCAGAACATGGGGACCTGCCCCCCTGCCTCGGAAGAGAGGGATCCAGGACACTGAGAGACAAGCTACTCTCCAAGAGGGAAAAACCACACAGACACAATTCATCGTCGATTCCCCAGAAAATATGGGAAAATGGGAAGTGGGGGGAAGACAACAACCCAGAAAGCATGGGGAAAAATGGGGGATCCTGTTATTTGTGTGTGTACTTATTTGCGTGTCCCAGGGCCCCTTCATACTCAGGAGAACTCCCCAGACATCCGAGATCTTGATTCGTGCTGTCCCCATCGTACTCAAGGGCCACATCCCAGAAATTATTTCGAGCACCCAGAGCAGTGTCGAAACGGTGTCGAAAGAGCGCATCGCCTCCCAGGGCCCGACAGGTGAACACCCTCGAGTTTCGGTACTTTCCTGGTGCTCGAAATTTGTTCTAGTGATCCAGGCTACAGGTAGGCTGGAACACCATAACTCTTGATGTTGTTCATCACGGGGCCCCCGAAAATCCCGACCCGACAACGATCAAGCACTTCGCCGCCGTGATTGCTGCTCCATTACGCGAGCATGTCTGAGTCCACGGGCTCCCATCCCTTCGGGCTCGGACGGGGCCAGGACGAGGATGAAGCCGTTCCAGGGCGCTCCTGGAACGCTCCCGGAGCGTTTTCGGAACGCTCTGAGAAGGCCGCGGCGCTCGAGACACATCCTCCCGAGCTGCCGGATCTCAGAGCTTCTCGATGTATCCTCACTACCCGACGTGATCCTCGTCCGGGCTTTAGGTCGGGCATGTCCTCCTACAGGAGGAATTTGAACGGAAAATGAAAAGAGTAACACGTCATTCAAACATGCTCCAAACTAGTCAAACATGTCGCCTCCATACGATCTAAAACAACGATTTGTGGGTACACCTCCTGTAGAAGGGACACGCCCAACTTAATCCTGGCTTCGCCTTTCTGGGAGCACGGAAAAGCGACACCAACACCAGCAGGGCGAGGAGGTGCGAGGAGGCAAGGGGAGTCTCCCTGGTGGTGTGGCCCCCCCTCTCGCTCGAGACATCCCCAACATCCAGCTCGGGGAGGCATCGTGGGCCTCCTCGCTGGAGGTGGGCCCCCTGGTGGCGTTGGTATCGCGCCTCCTCCCTCCGATCTTACAGGCCCCCCCCTTCGTCGTCGAGGCTTCCCGCGGCCGCGCCCGCCGAGGCCGTCCAAGCCGCCCCGCGCGGCCGCGGCCGCGGCGGCGCGTGCTCGCCCGCGGCCGCCCCGCAGAGACTCCCGGACACCGCGCGGGGCCGTGAATTCCCCTCCTCCTCCTCCGCCTCCTCCCTCCTCCCTCCTCCCTCCTCCCTCCTCCCTCCTCCCTCCTCACTCCTCCTCCTCCTCCTCCTCCTCCTCCTCCTCCTGCTCCACGGCGCGCACCCCCCTAGAGGCCTGCCCGGAGATCCGGGCGCGGCGCTTACAAAGTTCACTCCGGGAGTGTTCTGTCGCCCAGAGCCTCTGTTTGAATATAGATTCGGGCAAATCTACCTGCCGTTCGCCCCCCCCACCCCCACCCGCGACCGGTTGTTACTGTGGCCCGTTGGGTGTTAGTGTGGCCCGTTGGGTGTTAGTGTGGCCCGTCGCGCGGCGGGATGGGAGTTACTGTGGCCCGCGCAGGCCGCTCAATGAAAAGTAATATGTAAAGGTATCTCATGTTAGATCTGGAGAGATTCGCAACCCTTCAGGGAATGCACTCCCGCGCAGGCAAAAGTGGCCACAGTAACTCCCACCTGGAACCAACGTGGTAGTAGTAGTAGTAGTAGTAGTAGTAGTAGTAGTAGTAGTAGTAGTAGTAGTAGTAGTAGTAGTAGTAGTAGTAGTAGTAGTAGTTATAGTGGTAGTAGTAGTAGTAGTAGTAGTAGTAGTAGTAGTAGTAGTAGTAGTAGTAGTAGTAGTAGTAGTAGTAGTAGTAGTAGTAGTAGTAGTAGTTAAGTAGTAGTAGTAGTAGTAGTAGTAGTAGTAGTAGTAGTAGTAGTAGTAGTAGTAGTAGTAGTAGTAGTAGTAGTCGTAGCAGTAGTAGTAGTAGTAGTAGTAGTAGTAATAGTAGTACTCGTAGTAGTATATGTAGTAGTAGTAGTAGTAGTAGTAGTAGTAGTAGTAGTAGTAGTAGTAGTAGTAGTAGTAGTATGTAGTAGTAGTAGTAGTAGTAGTAGTAGTAGTAGTAGTAGTAGTAGTAGTAGTAGTAGTAGTAGTAGTAGTAGTAGTAGTAGTAGTAGTCGTAGCAGTAGTAGTAAGAGTAGTCGTAGTAGTAGTTGTAGAAATAAAAATAGTAGTAGTTGTAGTTGTAGTTGTAGTTGTAGTTGTAGTAGTAGTAGTAGTAGTAGTAGTGGTAGTAGTAGTAGTGGTAGTAGTACTAGTAGTCGTAGTCGTAGTATTCGTAGTAGTAGCAGTAGTAGTAGTAGTAGTAGTAGTAGTAGTAGTAGTAGTAGTAGTAGTAGTAGTGGTCGTAGTAGTAGTAGTAGTAGCAGTAGTAGTAGTAGTAGTAGTAGTAGTGGTAGTAGTAATAGTAGTAGTAGTAGTAGTAGTAGTAGTAGTAGTAGTAGTAGTAGTACTAGTACTAGTAGTAGTAGTAGTAGTAGTAGTCGTCGTCGTAGTAGTCGTAGTAGTGCCCGGCGAATACGTAACAGACCCCTGTTTGGGGCTCGCAGTGGTGATGCGGTTGTGCTGTTAGTGGTGTAGTGTTGGTAATGTTGTTGAGTTATTGGTAGGTAGTACTGTTGTGGTAGTGGCAGTGGTGCTGTAGTAGTGGTGTTGTGGTACTGGTGTTGTGGTGTTGTGGTTGTGGTATTGTGGTAGCGGTGTTGTGGTGTTGTGGTAGCGGTGTTGTGGTGTTGTGGTGCTGGTATTGTGGTAGTGGTGCTGTAGTGTGGTAGTACTATGGTAGCGTTGCGTTCGTACTGTGGTAGAGTTGTAGTGGTACTAGTGTTTGAAGAAGCCCTGGGAGCTAAATTTTGAAAAGGGCCCGCGCTCCTGTGGACCCCCTGTGAGGTCTCTGAGAGACTCCTCCTTGTTGCCGTGTTGGACCCCACCTTGGGCTCCCAGCCGTCAAGGCGCCCGGATCCAACCTTGGGCTCCCAGTCTTGTTACTACGAGCCTGGCAGGACGAGGCATCCTGGGATCCTAGGCGAGGCCGAGGAGAAGAAGGAGAAGACGAGCGTGTTGCATCCTACCTGGCGAGGTCTCAGAGAACACGTGCACCCTTGCATCCTGGAGAATACTACTCCTCCCCCCCTGCCCGTCCCTCTCCTCCTCCTCCCTCGCCCTCTCCCTCCCCCTCCCCCTCCCCCTCTCCCTGCCCCTCCCTCTCCCTCTTCCAAAAACCATGTTTGGCTCAAGACGGCTCAGGGAGGATGTCTCGTTGCGACCAGTGCCGTGTTAGGGAATACCACTCATAGGGAGTACTAGTCCTACGGAGTGCTAGCCGTAGGGAGTGCTAGCCCGAGGGAGTATCAGTCCTAGGAATTACTACCCCTAGTCCTAGGGAGTACTCGTGCTGCGGAGTACAAGCCCTGGGGAATACTAGTCCTAGGGAGTGCTAGTCCGAGGGAGTGCTAGTCCTAGGAAGTACTGGCGCTAGGGAGTGATAGCCTTAGGGAGTGCTAGTCCTAGGGAGTTCTAGACCTAGGGAGTACTAGTCGTAGGGATTCTAGTCCAAGGGGCAAGAGGGCACTAGTGATTGGGCGCATTAATCCTATGGAGTTCTTGTCCTAGGGAGTACATGCCCTAGGGAATACCAGGCATAGGGATGACCGATGCTAGGGATTACTAGACCTGGGGAGTATTCGTCCTAAGGATTTCTAGTCATAGGGATTAATAGTCCTATGGATTACTAGGCGCAGAAGTTACTACGGGCTCCTAGGATGTCTGTGCGAAACGCACAAAACAGCAACACATAAAAAACAGCAACAAACAACACGAACAAACGAACGAACCACCAACAACAACACACCAACAACACAACAGGCTCTTCGGCCGCTCAAGGAGGCTCTTCGGCCGCTCGAAGAGGCTCTTCGGAGGCCCTAAGAGGCTCTTCGGATAGCCCAGGAGGCTCTTCGGAAAGCCCAAGAGGCTCTTGGGCGAACCCAAGAGGCTCTTCGGTGGCTGCAAGAAGCTCTTTTGCGGCTCCAAGAGGCTCTTCGGAGAGCGCCAGAGGCTCTTCCGAGAGACTCTTCGGTGAAGGGGGGGAGGGAGCCTTTTTACCCCCCCCCTTCACCGTACTCGTTAATTAGTGCACTCCGGAGGAACCCTGGCCGTACTAACACCCACC